GATCGGGCTCGGCGAGCGGCGCCCGGCGACAAAGCATGACAGCGAGCACGAGCCAGATCAAGTCTACTGCAAACTTTAATGTCCGAGAAAAAGCCGGTCACACACGGAGAAGAGCGGGAAGCGCACACAGAGCGTGAAACCTCCCCTCCTTACCGTCATAACCCATCCCAGAGCGCACTACACATAAATAGAAATACAGGACACTTCACAGCTGTCAAAGTTACTCCGCACGAGGAGTGTTATTACACTGAAGGTTATGCAGCATTTTATTTTACACCAGATACCACATACAGTTTAACAGTGACCTAAATTAAATGGTCTTGGCTCCGGCTGATGGATGCCTCAAGCATTCCCCCCTATCCCCGTGTATACAGTTGAATAGAAGAATGTGATCACATTCAGTAATACACAATTATCCCCGTGAATAAAATAAAAGTTACGAATTTTAAGAACGCCAATAAGAGCGCAGGTAAAACACAGCCAATTCATACAGCTTATTCACATCATTATTCTGCTTCCACCTCCTAATGCGACTGTTACAATTCAGAAGAACATTGTGGAAAAGGCATTTTCTAGATGATAAATAAAAGCACATCACTGAATACCTGGCATAAGGAAATAAAAACATTTTCTAGAAGCAACACATAAAATGGCACTTGTGACAACGTGGGGTGGCAAAGAACAAAACCACCAGAACAAAAGAGAGCCACAGTCTACCAGAAAGCAAGAGCATTGCCTGTTTGCGATAAACAAGAATACACCATTTCAAGTGTAACTACAGACTGGGTAGGAGGCAGAAATGGCCAATATTACAGATACATATGCTACTCAGCAACAGCATTATCAACATTCATCTAATGTCTTATTTCAAGGAGCTTTTAAAACAGGCAAAATACTAACCATACTCTATCTAAAGGAAAAAATAAAAATCAGAAAGAAAGCAAAGAAGCTTAAAGTCCCTCAAAAATAAAGTGAGGAAATTAAAGCAACTTTGTATTATTATTAGGTGTGCAAGGGCTTTTATTTTTCATATACTTCATGGGAATGGCAATGTTTCAGCTTTAAACACGTTTCTCCTGGAGCAGGGCAGAATTCTGACTGCTCTTTTTTGGAGCTAAATACTGGTAGTGCACTTTTAGGAAGAGAGAGTTCAAATAAGACTAGTTTAAACAAAGCTCTAATTGAAGACTGCTGTAGACCAGAAGCCTTTATTTGCACTGAGAATTCTGAGCACAAAGGGGCACGGTCCTGACACGTATCCAGGCACATTGCTCTCTTATGCAGCATTGAAACTTTTAAAAAAAAAAAAAAAAAAAAAAGTTTGTGTTTTTCCTCCTTGCAGACTTTCAATTTAGGAACAAAGGCACGCATTTCTTGCCTTAATGGGAAAAATCCAAAAGCCAGTAACAGATTTATTAAAGAGATGAAATTAAAACACCTCAATGAAAAAAAAACAAAACAAAAAAACCCAAAAAACAAAAAACCCAACCAAAAACCAAAACTAACTAGAAACGATGGAAAACAAGCAAGCTGTTATCCACTGCCATTATGACCAAATACAAAAAGCCCTTGATTCTTTACCATAATGTTTTTATATTTAAGAAATTTTTCAAATGGTTGAAAAATGGTACTTGTGGTAACCAATATATTAAGAGAATGAAATAGCTAACAAGGTACGTCTTGTCAGCACAGTGGGTATTGGTTAACATTTTCTCATGTACATAACTTCTAAGTGATAGAAGATTCAGCCTCTCATATAGTATCACGATGTGTACATTAAATATTCACCTAAGCCACATCTGCCAGGGAAAAAAAACATAAGCGACAAGAAGTCGCTAAGTCACAAGGGTAAAGTGCCTGAAGGTACAAACAAGCCATTTAGCAACTGGCCTGCATATGCTGACTCGTGTAGAGGTGGTCAGGTTACAGCACATACTACTTACATTTAACTTTCTCCCACCGCTTGAGGGATTTTTCTGTTGCACTACCTACACAGGGCATGGATAAATTTGCTGTATTATCAACTTCAAAAAAAGAACTCAAGGTATAACATGACTCTGTTAATTGTGTTAAAAAAAACCCAAACATACTGCTCCATTGTTTTGGCTTAAGCATTAACTAGCTGACTCAAAATCAATGTATTTTAAGATGGCAAAGCATCTAATATATTTCAGTTTCAACACTAGATTAATCAAAATTGGTGTTATTCCTTAACTGAGGTTAACATACTGCTTCTCTGTGATATGCTGCTTCTTCATCACACAGTAATCTGCTTTCAAATAGCATTTCAAAGATTTTGAAGTCTACGGGTTCTGTGTTTTGATTATACTAACAGTGGTACAGTCAATGACTGGAATTTGTACAATAATCTACTTCATTCTGAGCTCCACAGAAAATGGTCTAATAGTTCTAATGGCTATTTTATCTATTATGAATAATTTTATCACTTTCCAACCATTTCAGACTTCATAATTTAAGTATACGCTTAGAAATAACTTCTCTAAACATGCCACAACTAGTACAGTAAGCATCTGTAAGCATTGCCAACATTAGGAAGTAGAAAAAATAAAATCATCAATCTACAGAAAATGATGCAGCATATGCAAAGACATAGCCTATTTATGGCAAACATTAAATCTTATTCTCAACAAAACTTCGCTTTTGTTTTGAATGCGTTCCAAAGCAGAGAAAGTGTCATGTGAACATTTCCTCCTCCATTTTCACAAGTATATTACAAATATGCATGGCATAGTACATGTCTGGATAGCAATAGAGATATTAAAAAATAGACACTATCTAAATCCTATTAGGAATAAAAAGGCACCACTTGATTTGAGGTTGTGTCCAGACATCACCTAGTCCATTTGATTCTCACTTCGAGCTTTCAAGACAACATTTTTTTTTTCCTATTAAACTATTCAGACCACTTCTATTCTGGTTTTCTCACCACAAACAACACACATTCGTAGTAGTATTTCATCATGGAGAGTTCATTCACAGTGTAAGTCGACAGTACGGATTCTTCCTCCACCTGATAAAAAGGCAGCAGTTTTTAAAAACACATTCTCTACAAGAAATATTCAAGTTTCCCTTCGGGAAGCATTATTTCAAGGCCCATTATATACTTTTAAAAATGAGGAAAGCAAATAATTTGCAACACACAAGCATTTAATTCTCCTAGAAGTTATTACTATATGCCATTATATTGAGTTGAATATACGGCAAATGTTGTTTTCAAAGGAGTTTGTCTGGTTTATACCTATACTGCTCATTGCAAACTACAGCATCTTCTTACCTCTATGTGGAATCCATATTTTAGTATAACAGTTCTTATATCCTCATAACTTAATTCTATAGAAAGTTCATTTCCCAAGTTTTCAAAGTGGTAAAGGAGAGGACCTAGAATACAATGATACAAGGGAAATGGCTATTAAAAAGAAAGACAAAAATGGTTTTAAAGAAATCAAAAGTACATACTGGAAGTGCAAAGAACACTTACATCCCGACTCACTTATTCAAATACAGACAAATGAATGTCCTCCTATCACTCATATTTTTGTAATGAATTTCAGAATCAATGGAAAATGAAGAAAGTTAGTTCAGCTGCTTATTCAACAAAGTCTCATTTCCTACTAGATTGTTTTTTCTGTATCTTAAAATTTCTTCAGTCAAGGAGCACTGCTGCCCCTTGAGAACGGAAGGCAGGAGCCTACTCAGGGGCCTACTCTGCTTCTGCTGTGTCACTGACCAAGAGTGGTGTAGTGACTGACTACTACACAAAATGTTTTAACTCTGTAGAGTTTTGTCTGCCATTCCTTTACTGTGGAAGACTTAAGTCTCTCACCTTTTGAGCCAAGGAACACAAAAGTCTCACTCCCAAAGCCCAGTACAAATTAGACAACAGATTAAGAAAAAGCGCAAGGAGGTATTTACACACAGAACAAGTTCTATTTTCTTAAAAAATAAATAAGAAAGAAAAGAATACAGGACACTATATTTGTCAAATAAGAAATGTTTGATGCATGAATGAAAAACCTGCCACTACAAAGATTTACTTCCCTATTTAAAAATCACATGATGTTAACTTGATTGTAACTAGCAAACACCTGGACATACTCCAGTATGTCCAGTAAGTTCGTTTCCAAGCCCTAGATGTTTCTAGCTCTACAGCTTTCAGCACAAACACATTCTTCCCCACAGCTCTTTTCAAGTACTAAATGCCCATTATGTGACCAAACATAGGTCAGGGCTAGCAGGAAGAGAGGTTGGTCACACTTGCCTACATTTATCCATATTCCGCCAGGCTTCAGTATTTTCCATATAGTATCAATGTAATCAATAACATTATGTGCTGTATCTATGAAAAAGCAAGTTGCTATGCAGTCCCACGTATCTGCATAAAAGAGCAAAGTATACAGAGATTAGTTTCAGTGTTTCTACCTCTGCAAAAGTTCATTTAACCCCAGTATTTGTTTACACGCTCAGCATTAACTTCAACTAACAACAGTTAAAGGCTCTTCATTTTGTTTACAAGTAACTAAAATATTTTTGCTTATGTTAACAGTTAAGTTTGGGTTCATGTGTATATACACGTATTTATCATTTATGCACTTGATAAAATTGTTCATACATGTTACATAAATGGGATACATATTATATACTGTAAAATGTAAAAATTATAATGTTTTTTATATAAATTAAAGCCCAAACATGCTATTACTCACCTACCCTATGAAATTCAGTACCACAACTGTTAAAAATACAACTGTAAAAATACCCATCGATTTTGGCCCTCTCTACTTAACACTGAGAACACCACAAGTCTGTACACTGAAATGTACTTCCACAAATCACATAGCTTTAAAACATTTTATTCTGTATCTGAGTATTTCTCAGTTTTTATATAGTTTTTATATAGTTAATATAACAAGCAGGATCTTTCAAAGTCTACCTTCTAAAGCCTCAGTCTCCCTGTTTTTCTCTAGTCATTTATCCTTCAAATTGCAAAAGTTTAAAGTTCCGTAAGTAAAAAAATTGTACATCTCAATTTATGCTCTAGTGCAAGACAGAACTTTCAGAAAATTAAGCAACTCTAAGAAAGGCTCCTGCAAGAAAATATCTGGAAGTCCAGTGCACAATAAAGCGCAGATCAAGAGCCATGTAATTCCATCGGAAAAATGGCTATAGGTTTAATATGGACAGAAAGGTAGAAACAGAAAAGAGAGGTCCGAGATGATAATCCAATTCTATGTAAGGAAAAAACAATGACTTCTACATAAGCACATACTGTGCCTCTAAAGTATTTACTATTGACTGTCGGTAAGTATATTTTTTCATTTATAATTTATTACTACTGAAACAGTTTGCATCCACAAAAAATACTCACTTTTATACACTAAAAACCAGAATTAGTTATGTTGTTCCCTTTGTAACATCACTTTCCTAAATCTACTAAACCTTTCCATAATACTACTATGCTGTCTTATTCTGAAAAAGACTACAGCAAAGATCTGTTACGCAAGGAGGTGTCTCTATTTTTTCACAATGAAGACAAGCTGATTTGGAACAAGAAAATGTTGCTACAGTTAATACTTTTTGCTTAATTCTTGTAGATACAGTTCTGTTCTATTTGTAATCATTAACTGTCCCATAACAAATACACTGAAGATGGTTGCATGGATAGCCAGAAGTCTGCATTTACTCACTGCACTCAGAATAAATTTCTTGAAAATCCCCTGCTGTCATAGAGAAGTTTGAACCAGGAGGAAGACTGTGAGGATCAACATCAGGGAAATAAATTGGACGTATCTGATCAGCAGATCTTCTGTTATTGCTAAACTGATGAATCCAGGGATAAAGCTTACATGAGTTAATTTCAGAACATCTGCAAAATACAAAAATCAGCACAATTCAGTTTCAACTAATTACTTATCTATTATCTAGACACACAGAAGTCAAAGACTTTCACCAGTATTCATAGATCGTTGGTAAAAAGCTACACATTTCCTAAAGGATTTTTATCTAGTTCATAACACTTCAGACTGCCTATCAATTTACAAACTGATACAAAAAGCCCAATTTTACTCTAACATACAGATTATCTACACAAAATAATAATTGCCTTTTTTAGCTTTAAAATTTTCTTTATGCACTTTTTCCCATTTTCTCCAACTTCCACTGAGAAGAAAATGCACAGGATTCTTCTGCAAGATTAATTACATTAATGATTTAGTATATTCAGTAAAGCTAAGCCTTCCTGGATATCTTTTTCTATTAAAAAAATTAGTAACATTACTTCTGTGAATTTTATTGGAAACATCTGTTCTCATTCTAGACTTTTCTGTCTTTTCTAAACCGTCATCACTGGGGTTTTGAAGCACAGAAGAACAAAAGCATTTTTCAGATTCTAACTCAAAGGATGCTTTCAGGTTTCAAAAAATGAATAAATTCCATTTTGCAAAATAGTAGTTTTGCACTAGGTGTCTTTTTAAGTTAGTAACATCTGGAACATTGCAATTACGCTTAGTAAACATGTCTTTGTAAAATAAAATCTGTGGGTTGAGATGATGAACTAAGTCAACTATTGTTTTTAAAAGTGGTAAAATACAGCATTAAAGTATAAAAAGCAGCTTTTCCCACAGTCCTGTAGGATCAGTTTATAATTAAAAACTGAAACCATTTTCTTTCAGAGACAACAGAGGACACCTCTGTCCCTTGAAACATACATCATCAAACACTTCATAAAGTGCAAGCAAACTACCAGGATATAGAAAGTGCACTCTATTGCCTGGTGGATATAAAACATCTGTGGTAAAGTCTTTGAAATAAAATTTTATTACTTTCTTTATGCCATACTTACATCTCATCAGGAAAAACAATCCACACAAACCAAACAAAAAAAATAAAACCCAAGAACAACCTGTATTTGAGCAGCAGTATACTGGGCTCAGTAACCATCTGTACATACTATGAATATTATGAGTAAGCAAGCTCACTGCCATGCATTTCAAGAGAGCAGACTTTGGCCTCTTCAGGAATCTGCTCAGTAAGGTTCCATGGGGTAAAGCCTTGGAGGGCACAGGGACTCAAGACTGCTGGCTGATGTTCAAGGATCACCTACTCCAAGCTCAGGAGCATTGTGTCGTGACAAGAAGGAAATGAGGCAAGAAGGCCAGGACGGCTATGGGTGGATAAAGAGCTGCTGAGAAACCTCAGAAGGAAAAAGAAAGCTTATAGAAGGTGGAAGTGAGGACATGCAGCCTGGGAAGAATACAGGGACATTGTTGGGGAAGCTAAGGATCAGGTCAGGAAAGCTAAGGCCTAGGCAGAGTTGAGCCTCAAAAGGGATGTGAAAGATAACAGGAAGGGCTTCTATAAGTACACTGCAAACGAACAACAGACTAGGGATAATGCGTATGTTCCTGCCCATGGTAGGGGGTTGGAACTAGATGATCTTAATGTCCTTTCCAACCTTAACTAGTCTATGATTCTTATATATGCAGTCAATCAAAGAATAAAAAAAGCAGGGGAAAAAGTCCTGATAACATGGGCATCATTTTCTTCAAGAAAGGCATTTTTATTTTGGTTAAAAAAGGGAAGAATAGATGAATAAATAATACCAAACAAAAACACAAACCCAAACAAACCAACCCACAGAAACCCTCAATACCAATCACAAAAAAAAAAAAAAAGAGACCAAAAACCCCAAACATGTTGGCCATCAAAAGTTGTGTTAACCGTATGTTCCTAGTCAAGTTTTTCCTATGTTCTTAGTCAAAAATTTCTTTAACAACAACAAAGGAAAGGTAAAGAAAATAAGAAATCCCAGTAGATTACAAAGGATTTTTTTCTGCACTGTTTTTTTATGAGCACAAAGTATATTCGTATAGACTTTTGAACAGCTGCAAAAGGAATTACCAATTTAAAAGACCAATTCCTCTCCATATTCAAACTTGAAAACCTCCCTTCCCAGCTTCAGTAATTTATACTTCAAAACTAAGTAATGCAGACTTTTACAATTCTATCTTTCCACCAAAAGATGTATAATGTCAATTATGTTATAAAAATGTAACATCTTTAGGTAAGTGTGACGCACTTCACTGTTTTCCTCAGGGGCATTTACTGATCAACATTTAGTTGAAAAGACAATTCTGGAAAAGATGGGTAGGTCAAATCTTACTTCTGAGCAGTGATTTAAAAGAAAAAATGCTTGATTAACTGTTTTCATCCAAAGGCATTCATGGACATGCAACAAACACAATTAAGTAGTCTTCTCGAAGTGTCTAGATTTATCTAAAATCCAGAAAGTAAAGATTAGCCAATTATTAGCATGAATTCTACTGGTATTAATTAAAGCTTTTTTAAACTAACCCTACTCTGACTTGGGTGCAAAGTGCTTTATATTACTTCAGTTTTCTCAAATAAGTGGGACTACTGGGGCTACTGCTACTAACAGTCTCTTAGACCAAGACTTCTGACCTTGTGCTCTGTATCTCCAGCTGCAGAAAACAGCAAGTCAGCAAACAGCTGCCCCTGCTTCCTCCACATAGATACTACCCTAGTGTTATTTCCCTCTGGTCAGAAGTCAAAGGGAAGTATAACGTGTCCTGTGGCTCTAGACTGCCAGAAAATTTCAGTATGCTTTCTAGAGGCAGGAGAACAGATCACACTTCGCCCTTTTTCCTCTTCCAAAACACGTAAGAAATGAAGGGTGTCTGTACACTACCAGTGATCACCTCTGCCATCTGTCATTAGAACCAGGGCTTATGTAAACACCAGAAAAATACACCAGCAGTAAAAACCTTACCCATACAAGAAAAAGCACAATTACTTATACAAGGACTGCAGCAGTCATAGAGCCATTGCAGTTAAGATACTCCAGGGTAACTTTAGTTTCAAATTAGAGCTTCCTCAATGGAATAATGCACTCTAATTAATTTCAAACACTTACAGTGACCACAGTTATGTCTTGACATACTCTCTACATACTATGCTATGCAACTTCATCCACAATAACGAAAGTTGAAAATTTAAGACAATTACATTTTTTTACAAGCATAAAAACCAGCAGATACCATTTTGTGTACAGAAGACTTAAGTCACTCTACCACATCTAAAAGCCCACTGTAGCAGTTGGCTTGACACTCAAGACAGTACTTTGTCTTCCTAAAAATAAATCAAGATTAGTGAATGTAGGTATATCCAAACTGTGAGCATGCTAGCAAAATCATCATGCTTTTATCAACTGAAAAAAAAAAAATTAAAACTGCAGTTAAAAACTAATGTGCAAAATCCTTTCTTACCACTCTTCCTTAACTGGTATCTTCAGCTCATATTGATGATTGCTGTTTCTTCCAGTTCCAGAAAGGTAAACTTAATCCATTTCAGTAGGCTAACTGGGAACAGCCACTTAAGACTAAAATGGAAGACCCCAAAAGTCCCCGTAACCTTCTTAATAGATATCCCAAGCCCACAGTCAGATCTAGCAGAAAGGAATGCTTGGACTTCAACTGAATTGACTGAAATTCATAGTCACGTTAGCAGTATTCTATTCTATGCTGATAAAGAAACTCGTAACTGGTAACTTGCCCAGCAAAAATGGAGACTACAGCAGCTGAGCAACACTCAAATCTAATCCTGTTGCAAGTCTAATGCATACACACTTCTCTGATAAATATCTTACATGAATAGGAAACACCACATGAGCATTAGGTGTTAAGAATGGTTAATATCATAAACTAAGCTTGGATCTTCAGAATTCCACTTACAGGCCAAAGACTCAGTATTTGAGGAAAACAAAAAATATGTGAGTTAGTTAGGAGTGAAGTTAACTTTCAGCTTTGAACCACTATGACAGCTGATCAGTGCTCACAAAGATGGGAAATGAATACTTTCATACTGCTTCAGAAGTTCCAAACAGCGTAAAAGCCAGCAGAGCTGTAATAGATAAGGATGAGAAGAATGTGACCTCCTTTCAGTAGCTGAAAGGCGTTAGATCAGCTCAACTGCAATATCCAAATTCACCACCAGATGATAGTCATTTAAGTAAGTAAAAGAACAAATAAACCTATAGCAAGTATGTGGTTTTATCACACTGACCACTACTGTTTAAGAACACATGCAGCAGCCATAATAAACAGTGGTTTTCCCCTTGTTTTTGAACAGTAGTCTGTAACAGATTTAAGATCATCACAGTCCATGGTGGATAGTCTACAAACAAGGCTCCAAAACATCATGATAATGATAACAGAATACAAGACAAGAATTTAGGTGTTTTCAGGAAAGCTGCATCATTTCAGATGGAAGAATGAAGTGGCAAATCCTGTCTGTCTGAACTTGGTACCAACCCAAAACATGGCCCGAGAACTCTTTCCTACTTGCCCACTTGCCTAGTATTCCCACCCTCTTTCTTGAAAGAATAGTTGCATTTGCTGCCTTCTTTCCTCAATAAGAAATTCATTATGAAACCAGTAATTTCAAATGCAAGTGACAGAATACTAAATACAGTAACATCACTTTAAGTCAAACCTATACAGTGAAATTTACTGGAATTTACTACTTTCAAATTCAGTACCTCAGCATAATTCTAGAGCTACTGACTACATTATTTTAGCCAGTTGCCTAAGAAGTGGTTCAGTGTGCTTCAGTGGTTGTTCTGCATGTCAAAACAAGGCCTACTATTTCAGTATAGAATGTGACACTTTAACAGGTTTCCTCTGTTGATCACTACCAAATATCATGCACGTATTAACTAGTACGTATTTGACACCAGTAAGATAGGCATACATTTTACAGAAACAATAAATCATAAAACCTATTCAAGATTATGCAGAAAATATGTGGTACAGAGATTTTAAGTCTCATAATTCAAAAGCCATGCCTCCTTCTATAATTTTAATGACTCAGACACAATGCTTCTGTCCCACATTTATCCCACTGATTTTTTTTGTTCATTATTACAGCCTAAAAAAATGTAATTTTTTACATTTTACATTGCAAGCCCCGTGTTAGGACTTACAAATCTATTCTTGCAAGTTTCATGTATTCAAGTTTTTCTCATTCATAATTTTGCCTCCTTAAGTTTCAATCAGCAAGTAAAACATAAGCTATGTACCTGTTGAGTACAAAGTTAGAAGAAAAGAGCATAAAGAGGCTCCACTCATTTCCTTGGCAAGCATAACCGAGCTTAGCTATTTCCCACGCCAATCTACCTAGCCCAGCACCAGGTACCAGGATATTAACTTTGGAGAAATCCCTGCAACAGAACAAAAATAATAGTTAAGTCTTTATCTGATACCTCCTAACAAAACTTACAGAGGTCCAGTCAACATTCCCCACTCCCATATACTTAGATATTACAATGTATTTGCTGTATAACTTTTACTTTTTAAATGCAACCTGAGCCAGTTCTGATCAATTGGTTAATTGTACAGTCAAAGTAATCCACAGAAATTACTCAACATATACAACTGTCATTCAGAATACAGAGCATAAGCAAAAACCAATTTTTTTCCCCTGAAAACTTCTACAGTTATCAAGCTAAGCATTTCTTAAGTGAACTGAAGAAAGAACGTTATCATATGATGCCATTTTTCTTTGAAGCCCACTGATAACTTGTAAACTTGTAAATATTCTAGAAATCTTGGTTACATTGCATGAAAAACAAACATGTATTTTGACATCAGAAGAAAACCTCCACAAGCTGATGAGTAATTCAGACTACAAAAACCTTAGTTACCTTCTCAAGAACTGTTTTATGTATGTTCACCAATTCCAGTGAAGTACACTAAGTGACATAAGGTTTCTGAAATCAGAGTACATTGCAGCTCTCTAACCCTCTACTTCCCGTAACTAGGCATCAAGTTGAAAGATGACCAGAGAACATACAGCAATGTGTTTACTGAGATACCGAGAAAAACCTCTTCCATCTTCCAACTTCAGCAACTAAACGACGAAGAATCTCAAAATTTTCTTCTTTTACAGGCAGTAAATGCAATACACATATATTCTAAGCATTAGACTTTGATCACAATGCAGTCAAACCTTCACTCGGCCAAACCAAAAATATGTTTAATCTAAAAAGATATATTCTTTCAGTTTCCAGTTGTCAACAAGATTTCATAACTTCATATGCCAAAAAAAAAAAAAAAAGGAAAAAAAAAAAATGAACACACAGACTACCTTCCCTTTTGGATGTCACCTTCAAAGACAAAACATACATCTATCAATTTATATGCAGCTAAATGAAGGAAACCACTATCAGCACTTCCAGGCATACAATGAAAGAAAGCAAAATGCAAAGTCTCTGACTACATAAAAATTCAGGATGCCAAAAAGGGTTTTAAAGATTTAGCATGCTGCATAAGCATGAAGATGAGTGAAGGAGTTATGTAAACTCTGAAAAGTAGCACATTTCTGAAGACTATTACTCAAACCCAAAAGAAAGTAGTATTCTTTTCTAAAGGCCACAAAAACTAACAAAGCAGTTTTAACAGTGTTTCTTGGTTTGTGGCTCAATCATCTAACTAGTGAGGGCTCCCAAAAGGAAGATCAAAGTTCTCCTCGTTCCTGATTTTCATTTCCTTTCCATTATATTTTCAGATTCTTTGCTTTCCGATTAACAAGAAGCAGGAAATAAAGATCTAGCTATTACCTAAGAGCACTCCTGTGAAACGACAGTTCTCATTACCTCTCTTCTACAAGGAAAGCCAGAAGAAAGCTAGCCAGGAAGTCCCACTGAAGTAAGAAAGATTAATTCAGGAGAAAATTACTTGCTCAAGATGAAAGTTTTGAAAACAGGGACCCAGAAGGAAGAAAAAAATCCACTTTCCAGGAAAAGCCAGAAAAACCTCCATGTTAAGCTTTTTATATTTGTAGTGGTACATTGTTATTCCAAATGTATTTCTAACCGGTTGAAGTCTTAAGCCACTTCCAAGATTGTCATACACTGGTAAGAAAAGACACTTTCCTGAAAACAATCTAATAACTAATAGCTATATAGGTGTGATCACATTTCAAAATCTCCAACTTTATTCATCCTAAAATGAGATACAGCCTCTCACTTGAGTTGATTTTAAATTGCTTGTAATTGTCTTGCATCTTTCTATTCACAATATAGTTTTCTGTATCTCTGAACTGATTTTCCCAATTGTCCCTTAGAAAATAGGTTATTTTAACTGCATTTTCCTTCGCAGTTTATTATTTTCCTTTCTTTATTAAGGGATTGAAGTCCATCTGGAAACCTGTTAGTAATTAAATTTCTATCTGTACTCTTCATATCAGTTGCTAGGGCCCGATGCTGGCCACCAACTTCTTTTCAGTACACAGAGCACAGCTAATAGAATACAGTAGCGTCAAATCCAAGTCCATAACCTGACACTGTCCGAACAGCCTTTGAAATGGTTCAAAAGCATTTTAAGTCTGTAGTCAGAGAAACTAGGTATGTAGTGAGCACACTGTATAACAATTAGCAAGTGTTGATAGTGTGCTGCTACCACCCCCAAAAAAATTTAAAAAGCTCAACACAATTTGCTTTTCAAGTATTAAAAGGAATTGTTAGTGACAAGCTCTTAGTGAATTTCAAAAAATAAGATATGAAACCAGTGGTAGTGTGAGCACTCCAATACACTATATTATGCTATTTTTTTGAGTCATTAAAACAGCTAACTTTAATTGCTCAGAAACTGCTTTTTTAATAACTATAGTCATAAGATAATTTAGAAGGCTAGAAAAACCTGCTTTCCTTCAGTGGATATCTAATTGTAGCAGTAGCAAAGACAACTGATAGTAATCCCAGTTATCCACAGTGAAGCTACCCACAAACTAGCCAGAAGCAGCATGATTTCTATGTCACAGATCTAGCATTGCATAGGAACATAAATGGGTACCCCACAAGTATCCATTAAAAACCTGTGGGGCAACAGAGAAGAAATACTGCCCTATTAATCTGACAGATATGAGGGAGAAAAGGCTGGCTAAAGAGCAAAGAAGAGAGCTGCATGGTACAGTCTAGCTCAACTACTGAAATTGTAGCAGTCTCTTAAAAACATAGTGAAGGAATATCAAAAACAACCAAAATCGGTCATGCCATCATTGTACTGCATTTTGCAGTGTGATTTTTCAGCTTTTAGACATTTATTAATGGTATTAATGAAGATTTTAACTTTGTGTCCTTTTTTAAAGGGAAAAAATATATATTATAAAAATAGGGGCTTCCTATTTTGTGCCTATTGTCCTTAAAAAACCCAAAAAAACAGACGGTGCTGAAGAGGTAAACTGAAGTTCAGCAAAAGGAAGATCTATGTGTGATCAAACACAACTCTCATTTTTATAGACTAATCACTGCAATTCAAAGTTACGTAATCATAAGAATTGGTAAGAAATACAAAGCCCATATACAGATGATCAGTGGAAACATCAGCATAAATCACACTGTAGGATTCCTTTCCCAATGTTTCATCTCTGTAATGTTTGTAAAACTAGATAATGAACACATCCAATCCTCAGTATAGTATTTTCACTATTTTATAGTAAACCATATTTTCAGAGATTTATTTTTTTTTTTAAACATAGCTACTTTTCAAATAAAATTATGGAAGTAGCTAAACAGTACAATCATTTGAAAAGCAATTCTCCAAACTTAGCAGCTGAGGTTTATCTGTTTCCACATAAAGACCTGCAAAGCCTTCAATGGACTGCAGTGAAAATGCAGAGATAGTTTTGTCTTAAATCCAATGTTTAAAGACAAGTTTAGATCACCTACAATTTTTGAGATTAAAAACCCTGCAAGGACAGATGTATTTTATATAAAGTTAAATAAAAGTCATATAAAGCAGGAATTTTATTATTGCTATAACTGAGACTGAGCACTTGCAAGAAGTGTAGCCACACTCAGGCTTAAGATTAATAAATTATGTTTTCAAGTAAAAAGGAAACTAAGCTGTCCTGCCAGCATCTTGGAAAATGCAATCATTGCTGGACAGCGTGACAGATTTAAATTTCAAGCTACAGGTGTTTCCAGAGGCCAAGTTAATGAATAAAAGAAAACTCTGGAGAAAATACCTAAGTTTACTGTTCTGAACCATGGAATGATAATTAATTAAAAGCTTAACTATTTCTTTGGTTCGTTTTGAAAAAGAAGTTGATGACCTTTACATCCCTTCACATAAGTAGGAAAGGTAACACTAGAAGTGAAAGAAAAATCAAGATGACAAAAGGGGAATTAAAAAAAAAAAAAAAATCGTTATTCTTTAGTTAAAAATCCAAACAACATTTCACCATAAAAACACCTTAACACATTCCATCAAGAAATAAAAGTAGTATCTGTTTTAATATTTTCTCCAATATAAAGCAGTGACTGTAGTTCGGTCAAATCCAAGAAATCAAATTTAAATGGCTTCATCAAATGGTAGACCTGTGAGCTGAAACACAATTAAACACCAACGTGAATAATGCAGGATATCTATCAAGTTCTTCAGGAAGACCTCATCTCACGGTAGTTCATTTGAAACTGCTCTGTTGATGGTACTAACAGATTCTGTGTTAAAGAGCTAAACAGAAAAAAAGAATTATTTCTGAAGAAGAATGGAAGGCAGAAAAGGCTTTTACCATTAGACTGGAGCAAAACACAAGGTAACAGTAGTACCTACTCACAAGAGTGTGGTAATTTACAGCTGCTTTCAACCACTGCTTCTTGGTAGCTCCTGTGCTTCCCAGAAGAGCTAGCACATAGAGCACTTTCTTCCTGTTCTTTGCACATCAACTGAAGCAATACAAGCCAATCTTGCAAAGAACAGCAACACAACATTTGCATGCATGAAGCAAAACATATTTGAATAGTTTCAAAAATCTGAACTCCTTTTCACATGATTCCAATATACGTAATTAATGTTAACAGTTAACTAGAAACTGAACATACAATTCCATTGAAGCCATTAAGAAGTAAAAGGTTACTTGTACTGATGGTTTTAAATTTAAATCTTTTATTTACCTTTTTCAACATAAACTACATCTAAAAAAAAACCTGTTTTCATTACCCAGTGCCACCAATACACTTTTTCTCTGGCACTTTCATTTCACCATTTCAGGAGACTTCAGCACCTTGTGCTACAAAAGGGAACGCAAAAGAAATGCAGAGCTGCACTATGAGATTCCATCCATAGGCTGCTTTCACACGTTAGCATGCACAGCCAGTCCTCTCTGGAGGAAACGGACTTTGCACTCTTGATACACAACAGCCAGAATAACTTCACTATGGTCAGTTCAGGCACTGTCCATCCCTTCAAACTGGAACAACTGCTGCCCTCTGAAACTGTAAAAAGGAATCAAGACTGACAAGCCAGCCTGCCCTAGCACAGAAGTTACTACTCGCACAACAGTGAGGTGCCACTTGCCAGTTAAGCCTGACAATGCACAAAGAGCACAGGCCCTTCTGAGTGACTGTGCTTCTCACCTCAAAGAGGTAAGCACACCTAAGGAGGAGAGAGCATCTGGTCACTATGAAAAGTGATTTGAGGACATTAAGTAACAGTACATGAACTGAGAAAGGTTTTACATAACTGCTATGACAGATCTGTAATAATCATGAATATTAAGCTTTTAAACAGGTATGCAGGGATCGTGGTTTAACCCCAGCCAGCAATTAACCATCACACAGACCCTCACTCACTCTGACCCTTACTGCAGTGGGATGGGGAGGAGGAATCAGGAAATATGTAAGAACCCTTGGGTTAGAATAAGAACAATTTAATAACTGAAATAAAAGTAAAATATAACAATCCAATAACGTAATGATAATTACAGTAACGATAATAGGAATAAATCCCACCCCCAGAAAAAAAAACAAGTGATGCGCAACACAGCTGCTCACCACCCGCTGACAAACACCCAGCCCGACCCGAGCAGCGATCTGGGCCTTCCCCCAGTTTATATACTGGGCATGATGTGCTGCGGTATGGAATAGCCCTTTGGTCTGTTTGGCTCAGGTGTCCTGTCTCTGCTTCCTCCTGGCTTCTTGTGCCCCTCCTCACTGGCAGAGCAGGAGAGACTGAAAAGTCCTTGACCAAGGTAAGAGTAAGCACTGCTCAGCAACAGTTAAAACATGGGTGTGTTACCAGCTTTGTTCTCAGACTAAAGCCAAAACACAGCAATGCACCGGCTACTACAAGGAAAAATAACTATCCTAGCCAAAACCAGGACAGTATGTAATACACATTTTATAAATGAAAAAAATGTTTCATTTGATGAACTCAGACTTGTAGCAGAGATCTATCATCTACAAGGCAATGCTCTGAGATTTCTCTAGACAAAGAAAACCCCAATGGGTATTTCAGAGCCATCATAATAGGGGCAGAAGCACTGTCATCTTAGTTCTGCTTGACAACAATAAACAGAATTCCTGGTAAAGCAGCACAAAGCTATCAACTTCAGATTCACCCAATCTGTTACCACATATTGCCTCCTAATACTAGGTGGAGGTTTTGAAATAAAAGTTCATTGATGATAAATGTAAAAGGCAAGACTTTGCAACTTCAGACATGTATCTCTTCAAATTTGATATAAATTCTCTCCTGCAACCAAAATGCTTTAAAAGCTAGGATACAGAGAAAAAGGGAACTGCTACCTTCAAGATCAGAATGATTACCTTCAGAACTATGACTTCTCCTACACATCTGCACCTAAGAGCCACATCAGGCAACCTGCTGTATTTAATTCATTTTTAGCTAACAGGGCACTGTTAGCACTAAAAACATTGCAGCAAGTTCACCTTCAGATAAAACATTTTTAGTGGCACATCCACCTTGAGATAAGTTAGCCCACAGCAAAAGAGAAACCAATCATGTCCACTCTGTGTTCTGTCACCACTAATAGCCTTTACTAATGAAAATTTTAAAGATGGCTAGTGGAAGGTATTTCAAATTGGTACAGATGCATTATTAGCCATTACTGAGAAAGAAGAAGATCCACACTAATACCCAGCTGTATCAAAACTAACTTGCAACCTGTTACATCTACAAAGTTCATAAATTTTCAGTGGTTCCCAGAGACAGAATGAGGAGCAATGGCCATGAACTACAAACACAGAAGTTTCACCTCAACATGACAAAGAACTTCTTTACATTGACAGTAGCAGAGCACTGGAAGAGGCTGCCCAGGGTGGGTCGTGGAGTCTCTCTCTTTCAAGACGTTCAAAACCTGCCTGGACATGTTCTTGTGTAACCTGGTCTAGGTGGTCTTGTCTTGGCTTGGGTTTGGTTCCTTCTAGCCCTAATGATCCTGTGATTCTGTGTTAAGTTTAAACTGAAAAGTACTTTATGACAACTGGGCTGACAAAAATACAGAGCCATTAAACAGAGAATTCTTACAGCACTAGTATCTTCCAAGATTCTACCAGCATACTTCTACTTAAAGTTACCTAAAAACCCTGTGCCAGTTACTATTCTGGTGATGTTAACAAGCCAACAGTTACAAAGCTACCCTCAAAACATGCAGCAAAGATTCTTAAGATGTGCCTTTTAACAACTGTCTGAAAGCAAAGATAGAACTAAGTATCTGCAGTGCAATAAAACTGTGGTAGAGGTTAAGAGTCTTCTTCCCTCCCCCCACCAAGTCAGGCAATAGTACTCATACTTGCTGGTATCACAAGGGTCCTTCCCTTTATCTGCAGCATACTCAGAATCTGTTAACCTGCAAATTTTACCTCACTTTGCACAACTGAACTAACTTCACAACCTCCTGAGTCTCTTACTTGAAAGGTTAACAGAAATCCCATTACATCAAGCTGCAGGGAAAAAGAAAAAAATTATTCCTGGTTTACCTGGAGAAGGTAAATCTTCCTTTGTGAAGTTTATGATTATCCTCTTTTCCAACCCCTTGTATTAGAAACCAAACCTTTGATTAAAAAATTCCACTGCATTCAAGGCAATTTATCTGTTTTTAAGTCCAAGCTTTTCCTTACTCCATAAAAACATTCTTAAATTTGTACTACAGTGTACAACCACACAAAAAATAAGTCTTAAAATACTATTACCATCTTTCTTTTGGAAAGTTCTTTATGATTTCACTAATGATTGGCTGGTAGCAGGACTCTCTCTCAGGCTTTCCCTCTTCACTCCAGTCTCTCACAAATTGTTTCAAAGTGGATTTTAATTTATCCATGTCAAATGTTGAAGCTGGTGTAATCTTCCCTCTTCCCTGATTAAAGTGGAAGAGAAAAATAAGATTAGTGCAAAAAGTACCAAGTATCTTTAGTCTTGGGTGAGGGGAGTAGAAAAAAGCCATATAATAAGAGCTGTTAGCAGTTTCAGCTGACAAAGCACCTGCCTTTCACCCACCTTTCACTCCTGGCACCAGGGTTCAAATCTAACCTAGAATCCTAAACAAATTGAGCTTCCTGGTCTCAGTGCAGCACTCAAGAGATTAGGTACCACATTAAAAAACAAACAATAAACCCAAACAAAACAAAAACACTGCACAAAACAATAAAAAAGAAAACCAACAACATGATATGGCACAGCAGAGCACAACTGATAGTCCTTATATTCAGGAAAGGATCAGGGCTTAGCCAGTGCAGAGGCTGCACTGCTTTACCTGAGAAGAGGGTCCCTTTAGGTGCTGATGAGGCAACACTGAGAAGCTCACATTAGAGCTGCCCATCATTGCACCTTTCCTGCAGATACCAAAAAAGGACTTCAGTTTCCATCTAAACCAGTCTTTTAAGTTTGAATTCAATTTTTTTGGATAGAGACGCCACACTGAAAAAGCAGGGAGTGAAAAGGTTTTTACAGATAAGAACATTAAAAATACTTGACCTATCTAAAATTTTAAGAGATTTAAAATGCCATAATATAAAATAACCTACAGTAAGACAGGCAATACTATTTATGCTATACACACTTAAAAGGTGGCGGGGGGAAAAATGTATCCACGGTAGAACTAGAACTCAAGCAATTTTTTTTTTTTTTTTAGGTAAGTGATAAGTGTAATTTGCCAGATTCACACTGAAACTTCCATGAAGTGTAACTACAGATACTAACAACAAACAGATTTATTAAACATCAGCTTTACAAGATGTGAAAGACAAGAGTCAGAAAACACTGCTGGGCAGGAAGCATGAAAGGAGAAAATAAAGCGGTAAAAGGAAAGAAAGTTTGAGACCTAGAGGTGTGAAAAACAAATGCAGAAAATCCCAAAGCAGACAGAATTCAATATTTGGAGTATGAAAAAGTCCATTTTTAAACATACGTCTTCTCCATATTCCTTATTTTCAAACATATGAGTGCAGTCTTTCACAATGGTCTGTAGTATCTCTTGATTATGGTCAATGCATTTCCGAATCTTGTCAAGATGAGGAAGGTATTGAGGAAGGAGACTCTGTTGGTTAGCTGGGAGAGATTTAAACTGCCTTTCAGTTCTGTTCACTCGCTCGTGCATATTTATTCTAAAAGGCAAAAGGTTTAAGGTCTTTAGATATTTTGAAATAATACACACAGTAAATATAAATAATTTACTCTAAGCTGCTCCAGATAGAATTACTAATTTTTTCAGACACAGGAAGAAATCAGACTTTCCAATTCCTCACTAGACAACAAGTTTTCAAGAATTTTTTTAGGCAAAATGTTTAAGCTCTAGTTCTACATTACCTCTTTTAAACATGTTGCAGTTTAAGAGAACCATTGTCTTCTTGCAGTTTCACCACCAGTCACTTATTTCCAGCACATTGTTGCTACCTTAATACACGGATCTATAAAATGTAATGAACAGCCAAACCCCAAAACCATCAAAACCAGCCAGACTGTTTCGTACATCCAGCTTAAACTGAATGGGTAGCTGAATGCTGTTGTACAGTTTGGCTACAAAAATAACAAGATGTGGAGTGGCCACAGGGATCCTCAAAATCAACTGCTCCTAAGAGAACCGCAAATGTCACAGCTGGACCATACCAATGTTCTGGCAGCCACAGTAAGATACTAAGCTACCTTCTTTTAGCAACATATCCTCCTTAAGTATGAGTACTGTGAACTTGATCACCTAACTGAACAAGCCCAAAAATAACTCTTCCACTTTCACAAAACAAAAAAATTTCATTGAAAAGATTAATCTACTGCTAAGAGAAAAGAGGCCTGTTTTTTTCTTTCCTCTTCCCTTTCCTCATGTGGAACAGTTCTGCCCTCTACCTTGTTTTGGCACTCACCAAGCCTGCCACAAAGCTCATTTAACTTGCTGACCCTAAAGAGACACGTATATATGTATTGCTCGATTTGATTTCTGTCACTTTAGCAAGTCAAGTTGCTACAGCATAGTCATGAGAGGCCACAAAGCCAAGACAAGGGATACTGCCCCTTTTGGCAGCAGCAAATCATTTTATCAGGTCAAGTCACTGCAGTTTCTGAAACTCTTGTGACAGCCTACAGCAGCAGAGTTGGAAAACCAGCCATCAAAGAAAGCATCAAAGATGCCATTGCTGAAATTTTAGCTGCAACCTCAGTCTGGAAATTTGACCAGTTAGCATGTCCAAAATCGCATATGTGCTACTGAGAAGGGCATGTTCACTGCAACAGCTACCCAGGTTTAAAAAAAGAAATTTAAGGGGAGGGTGGGAAGGCAGAAAAAAATAAGAAAACTAATCATCTAGATAAAGCACATCAACTCATCTTAATTATCTTCTTGAAAGTTTTGTCAGAAAAAAACTCTTTGAACTATAATCCTCCACCTTTTCACAATGAATTGCAACCTTCTAGCAGAATAAATAATTAACTGAAATCAGAAGAACTACACATCAAGAATTAAGTCCATGTCTCCAGAAAACAAGACCTTTAATCTGGTCTCATCTGAAAGTATGTCACTGCCTTATTCATGCAGATGTTTCCTGTAAAATAATTTTTATCAAAATACGTAATTTCACTTAAATTCAGAGTTATTTCTTTGAGGCAGAGGTAATTTAATTCCACTCCTGTATTACAAATTTAAGTCACATCCTTTTGCTATGTGTTTACCAAAACCAAAGTAGTCAAAAGCAACCCAGTCACAGCTAAGCATGAGGTTGACAAAGATACTCCCAGCTTTTAAGGCTAGAGGTTGAAGTTACATCACTGATACCAGTATATTACATGTGGCTGTTGTGCTAATAGTAATAACCAACACAAAGCCTTTGGGAGAGAATTCCGTTTGGAAGAGACATCAAAGCGTCATCTAGACCAACCTATTCATCAAATTTAAGTTTTGGAAAGCAAAAACTAACCAAAAAAAAAATCGGCAAACAGAAGAAATACCCTTAAATACACTTACTCCCTCCAAGAACCTCCCTGTCATGTAAAAATGATGCTTATGGTACACTGACAAGACTGTCCAACACATAATAACGATTCACATGACAGGAGTTTGTCCACTTAAGTATGCAAGGATGTCATGTAGCTACATCCCAAACCTAAAGTAACATTAGACAGTTTACAAAAATACTGCAGAGGACTAGACTTTTGCAGCCAGTGTCTTCCCCTCCAGTAAATTCTGTTTCCACTCCTATCCAACGGATTCGGATACTAAGTAGGGTCCGTCCCTTCCCACTCCTCCTTTCTCTCACTTCCGTAGGACCATCAAGGTCTTTTCCGACTCAACAAATGACATGCATCAGCCCGATCTCTTGAGCAAATTAACAATTTCTTTCGGAAATCTCCCCAGTAATCGAGATACCGGTCGCATCTCTTTGCTACTGTTTGGAGTATTTTACAGCCTCTTAAAGCACCTTATAAAGAGACCTTTCTGTTCAGAGGTGTCTCGCGCCTTTTTCAGGTGCGCTGTATTTCAACAAGGTCTGACTGGGGCTTTTT